TTTTCCCCTCCTTTTTTTCCCTTCTTTCTTGAACAAAACCTCACTGTTCATTAGTTTGTAAATAAAACACATCTGGCATCAACAGACCTCACTTATGAGGTCTGTGCTATCAGTTCACATGCATTTAGTTGATTTTATCACATGACTGTAGGTAGAGGGAACCTCAGCAGGTTTACAGAAGAGTAAAATTAGTAGCTATGTATTTCAGACATGAAATTTTTTTTTTAAATGCTGTTATTGTGGCCAGCTCTACTTTGTTCTCCCAAAGAGGAATTCTCCCCTTATACAGCAGTTTTGAGGCTTCATTCTTCAGCCACTGAACTGTTTGAAATTTTACCTGCACAATGCCATGAGATTAACTTGTTCTGTGAGTGAATCACAGCAACATTCCATAGGACCTTCCCAGCTATCCACAAGGAGTAAAACCCCCAGGGCTGAACACAAGAGTCTCTACAGTTCCATCTCTGTGACCGGGTCCAGGGGGTCACAGAGTGCGTCACCTCCAGGTTCAACCTCCAACTCCAGTTAAATTAGGAGTACCCAATTTTTCACAGCTCCTTCATATCCTTAAACTGGAGTAATTTCATGCCACAAAAGTATTTATAAATATAGACTGAGAAAATAATCTCATTAGTCAGATGAAGGTGTTACTAACAAAACAACAAAGAGGAATCAGCTGTCTGCCCTGCAGCTGACATTCATAGTGGTGTCACTGCATGCTCATTGTAATGTGAGGTAAAATATTGATTTATTATTATAGACAATAATGATGTGCAAGATCCAGTTAAACTAGCAACATTTCAATAGATGCACTGAAAATAAATTGTTTTCCTCATTTTCCATTAAATCTGTAAACATCTTTAAGTGCAACAAATTGTTCTGATGACCAAAACTGTTTTATATACATATTAAGAAATATATACAATCTTCCATATATATTTATTCATTGGCAAATTCCCAGACTGGTTCAATTCATTAAAATACAATGGGGAAATGAAAGCTATAATTTTTATCCAGGTATGTTCTTAAAGGAAGAAGTGGAGAGACAGAAAAGCGTTTCTGCTCCTAAGAATGAGCCAGGCAGAATTATTCCAGTCAGTCAATAATTTAGTGAGAAATCTCATTAAAGTCAACATTAACAGGACTGTGACTTTAGTTTTAATTCTTCTTTGAGAGTGATATTTTCACTAGCACAGAGAGGCAGGATAAGACTAATGCATTGTTTCAGTCTCATTTAGACTTTACCAAACCTCCACTTCTCTCTTTACTGCAACAGAATTTACAATTGGTCTTCACCCATCTATGTGGGAGTAAGCATTTTTCTAATCTGAAATCTACTGTAAGAACAATTCTAGAATACATTTACTTCTTTTAATTAACAGAAAATACAACACTTTTTAATCAAGGTAACACTAAAAGTTTGAAAACACTCCACATTTTCTGGAAACAGACTTTTTCCCTGAGGCCCTAGTTTTTCCTTCACTAGTTACCTTGTGCAGGACACAGGGTCTACCTGACTTTTTTCCTCTTTTTTCTTAAAGTGCCTATATCAGATATGCTGGTGTAAATACTTTTATATAACAAAAGTAATAATTTCCTCCAAGATGCATAAATCTCTTCAGAGCTGATATGTTCTTCCTGACTATACTTTCAAATCATGCTATAACCATATCAACTCTCTTGATAGTGCATTTATAGAGTTTTCCTTCAAACTTAACTTTGGGGAATTGGATTTTGAATTAAAGTAAGTAAAGGGAGGAAACTAATTTAAGGCTTCTGATGTAGGTAGAAATATACATTTCTACACAAAGACTTTTCACCATTGAGAGCCGCATTTAGTCATCTGTACAGATTTTTTCATGCATTTGATTGACTTACATGAAAATTTAAATTTTATGGATTTGATTGCTTTCCAGGTCCACTCAAGTGCAACACTTTGTAGTAATACCTGGTATAAAACTTATTTTAACAGGCATGAGTTATTTTCCATACATCAAGACTCAACAAGTAGCAGTACCTGGCACAATAATAGCAAAGTTGTCTTTGCAACTACCATGCAGAGCAGGGCTCCTTTCAGATAAAAGGTGGTAAAATCCACACCTATCAATTTAGCACTGTTCCAAAAATTTTCCATCACTTGTGACGAAAGATCCGATTTTGGAACACTTCTCTCTGTGACAGTGATGAAACACTGGCATGGGCTGCCTGGAGAAGTTGTGGATGCTCCATCTCTGGAAGTGTTCAAGGCCAGGCTGGATGGGGCATTGAGCTCCCTGGTCTAATGGAAGGTGCCCTTGACCAGGTCAGAGTGGCTGAAACAAAATTATCTTTCTAGTCTCTTCCAACCCAGGCCATTCCATGACTCAGTGATTCTATTCAATTACTTGTGTGAGCTTCATTTAGGGTAGTTGGGAACATATCAGAACAAGGATTCTGAGAGTGATATTTAATTTTTAAAGAGCAGATAAAATTTGTAAAATTACCTTATACAAATTTCAAGTCTGCTCCTCATAAGTATTGAGAGTGATAGCAGCTCATTTTTGTGGCCAAAGAAATGGTTCCAACATTTAAATTTATTTTATGGAGCTAAACCAATTCTTTTTGGACTCTATTCTGACTCATTCCAGTGAGAGATAAACCAAGGTCTATCAACTTATTTCTAATAATAGTTCACCAATAAGTCAGACAACCAATTCTGACTTTCAAGTCACAATTTTGACTACTCAGAGAAGTCAGAAAAAGCAGGACTATCAGGAATCAAATTTTATATTCTTTCTTACAAGTTTCAGAGACCTTTGAAACTGCTTATTTACTCTGAGGGAAATTTAACATGTAGATATATATGTATATTGATTTTGGGTTCCATATCTTGATGTGGACGTCATGGAAAAAGACAATACGTATCAAAATAGTTTCAGACTTACAAAATTATGTTTCAGGTAAAGGCTACTTATTAATGCTTGCTACTTTTAGCCACAATGTTTTTATTTTCTGCCACAAGGTTATATTTGTCCCATCTCTTCATTACCCCTATGCACAAAGTTTTCAGCTTCTTGTCAGCCATCACTGTATGAGTCTGAGGGTGCTGGATTTCTGAGATTATCAGAAATCATATGAAGAACATGAAAGCAGCTAAAATAATAATCACATTTGTTACTTTGCTGTACTTTACATAGGCTTTTGGCAAGCTAATAGAACATTTAAAATACTGTGGTTCTTTGATATTTTTCTATCACTCTAACAATATAAGGGTGATGCTTAATACATCTTTATGGCTTCAGAAGGAATATATTTTCTGGACAAATTAATATTACTGCAGAAATATTTTTCATAGTAGCCAGGTCAGGAAACCCAAACTGGAATGTAATAACAACCTGAATTCCTCATTGTCCCATTTCAATATCTGACATAGATTTACCAGAAACCTAGCTCCTCTACCCTGAACAACAGGGCTAAGAAATTCTAATAGTAATGTGCATTTCAAGCCTAATGATAAAATAAGCTCATTGACTATGTGCTTGTGCACAGATCCCTAGTCTGGTTAGAGATAGTACAGCCACATTGTGTAAATTACTGTGATGCTCTGGAGTATATAACCCAAACTGTAATCTGATCTGCACAGTTACTGTTAAAATTTGTTACCTGAAAAAGCAGAAATCTAGTTGGAATTTGAGCTGAGATTAAAAATAAAGTGGAAAATAATATTTTATTTTTATTAACTATAAATATGAAGCATAGCTAAAATATTTATGGAATTAAGATGATCTGTCCTTGCCTGAAATGTGTGTGTGTGATCTACCTGATCCTTTTTAGAGTCAGTGAAGGTGCAGTTACTGAGTTCTGCTGATCAGCTCCCCTGATCAATAAAGATATCTGTTTCAAAATAAAAGGAATAATTTCCTAGGACACTAAGAACTACTGTGAGTATTTAGAAAAGGGATTGTGTGCAAACATCTACACTGGGTTCATCCCAAATTAAGCAAGATAAAGCCTTCTCTAGCTATCCAGTATTAGGTGTTTGAACTATTAATCAAAGCTGCTTTTAAAGTCAGTGAAAGGAGGCCAGCACCTCCACAAAGCAATTAATCTTATCCTTGGATGTGTGTTTATCATCACAGATGGAAGGAAACATATCTCCACTGCAAGGAACCTTGAAGGTTGTCTTAGGTTAGACACCCTGCAGTGGGTTTTGTTCAAGATTAGATGTAGACATGTGAGTCAAGTATATCAGCTACCATTATAGTCAAAAGGGCTTCTTCTTGTGGTCTAGCATCATTTGAGATGATCTAGGATATCCTGTCTAGTGTCCAGTTGCCACTCCAGATGATCACAGGTCATATGCTATAATTTCCAGTCTGTCGCAAATGTGTAAGGTGTGCTAAAGTGCATCAAATGACATTTTATATAGATATTTTGGTAAATAAATGAAGTTCAATAAAAATTCAATCTTTTCCAAAGGAAGAATATTGTGTAGGGTAAATCTGTGATAAATAAACCAATTACATTATCTACCATAAAATTAACCATGAAAGATGAAGCGAGTAGACACAGCGTATTCCCATTCTCAATGTATGTAAGTATGAAGAACCTGTGAGGAAAGTCTCTAATGTTAATATTTGCTTATACACAAATATTCTTCTCTCCAGTTTATAAATTGGATTGAAAGACACCATTACTGTCACAGAAATGCAATGTTTGGCTTATGTGTGAAAAATAGAGTGTCTGTCTCACCCTCTGTTCAGACACAGAAGGGAGGAAAATACCACTCCAGAGCTTTGATGAGCTGCTGAACACATAGACTCACTACATCTTCAAAGAAATGAATCCTGATCTTGTATAAAGAATGCAAAACTCCCGCTGAAGTAAAAAAATACCTCATTCATATGTCTGGAAGCAGGATTCAGCTCTCAGAACTAAAACAGCTTGCACCCACCTGCTGCTTTAATTCTGAAACACGTTTTCAATCAATATCTTGTATAAATCACTAATCCAGAGCAATGTGCTTTACTATGAAAACAGTATTCCAGTCATAAAGTGTGATCCATGTGGACACTCCCCAGAATTAAGCAGGAATGACCAGAACATTACAATTATGATCTTGGTTTTCTGCATGACAAACTCTTGCATTGACTATTACACATTTACAAGGTTTCAGTTTTCATTTGGTTATTGTTGTTTAAAGCAGGAGAAGGCTTGCTCTTCTGGGCATCAGTTCCTCCTTTGGATGTGTCCTGGAAGAAAAGCCTTGGCATCCACAGTGACATTAAAATTCGTTTATATTCATTCCGAAAATTCTGATTAAGAAGACCATATATTATTGCATTAAGGCAGCTGTTGAAATAGGCCATTAAGTAGCTTATAATGAATAGCCATTCAGGAACTTTTGGTGCCATTTCCGTAGGATCAATGGCTACAGCCAGTCCAATGAAGTTTAGAGGTGCCCAACAAAAGGCAAAAATCACAAAAACAACAAACATGGTAAGAAAGTTTCTGAAGTCACTTGGCTTCAATCTTGGCTTTGTTTCTGACTTGACTCGTCTTCGTACTTGAAGTACTAAAACCCAAATTCGAAGGTAGCAGAAGCTGACAATGGTGATAGGGACGATGAAGTGAATGACCACAACAGCTATTGTATAGTAGGAGCTTGCAGTTTGGACAAAGGTGCAGGAATAGATGCGTGGATCATACTTCAAAGAGCCAACAAAAAAATTTGGCACAGTTGCAATTACTGTTAATATCCAGACTAAGGAGACGTACAACATTGTATTCCAACAGCTGTACACTTTGTCATAGGCAAAACTATGACATATGTAGCAATATCTGTTTATTGCAATTGCAGTGATGTTGAAAATAGAGCCTATTACACTTAGTCCCATCACAAAGCCACTCGCTTTACAGTGTGTTTCACCCAGTGTCCATCCATTGTGGAAAATAGCTAAGAGCACCAGTGGGTATGGATACAAGGCCACCACCAGATCAGCCAAAGCTAGGCTCACCACAAATGCGTTACCTGGAAGGAAAGAAAAATACAGAAGCATAAGTCTGAAAGCAAGCACAGCTGTGAAGAAGAAAAGTGTTACACTATTTTGGATGTCTGCAATGTTAAATTATTTGTGATGTCAGCAAGCAGCTGGTATATAGGACCAACAGGAAAATGATTTTACAATGTAACTTGGAACACCACAGAAATATCTGCAGCAATAGGATGTTTCAAATCTGTTGGTGACTGGATTATACCCCCCTTGCTCCTTTTATCTCTGTTTATGGCTAAACATAGCCATCTGTGAGCAGCATAAGCACATGTTGATTTGTTTAATTGTAGCTAATTCCACAGCTAGATTGATAAAATGAAAAAGAAAAAAAGTCTAAATAGATATTATGTCTATAGATATTAAGTCTAAAAAGATATTATGCATTCTAACCTATCACTGGAACGCTGACGGGCTTCACAAGCACAAAAGAGAAGGATATACAAAGACTAGGTCTATAAGTATTGGAAGGATGTGTTGTTTTATCTATACTCTAAATTGCAGCACAATATTTGCAGAATAGATATTTTCTGCATGAATGGCCTACCCATACTGCAGTTATTTTCTCACTGGATTGTCTAAGGAAAAGTGAATTGTCTTCACCATCCTCTGCAGAAAGACATATTTAATTACACAAAGAAAAGTTCCATGCATGCAAGAGGAAGTATTCATGTGTTATGCTGATGATATTCAGGAAATATAGGTGATATGGCTGAGCCTTATCGTCTCTTTAACCAATGCCCTTTGCATCAGTTTGAAATTTCTGACATTTTATCTAAGGGTATTTTTATAAAATAGAGAGATAGTAAACTATATTCCTGAAAAATGTTCTTTAGGAACTCCACTCTAGAAGACAGAGGTACCAACTTTGCATTCTTGGCATTTAGAATGTAAATGGTTTGTATGGTGTTGTATATGGCTTTCCTACTCTTTTTTTCATTCCTGGAAGTCCTTCACAGCATGAACTGATATGGAAAAATCCAAGCAATTTTAAAAATAGTGCATGGAACATAATCATTTTTTGAAAAGAGCAGTTAGGTACTCCATTCTACAAATTCTGAGCTTACTAGTCCTCAAATAACAAGTTCTCCATGTCATATTAAGAATGGCATTAACTGGAAGTTGTAAAAGCAACAACCATGTATAAATATGCTCATCAAAACCGAAAGAATTTCACATCTACTCTCTTTTCTCCACCTGCTTTACATGTGCAGCTTCCTGAATTAAAGAATAGGGAGCTGTCTTTCTCCCATACACTTTAGGGGACCACCATGCTCATCAGAACTTGCACAGCAAGTAAACTTAAGGGAAAGCAGGATGATCCATCTGTGCCCTCAGAAACATAGCCCATCTCAAGAGTGGTGCGCAACTTATTTGAGATAGCTCCTTGTTATATATTTAGTAGCCTGTTTTATATATTTTTAAAAGCTACCCAAGTCGTTCCATAGCTGCAGCTGGATGATTTGTGAGGAAAGATTGAACAATTTAGGGAGACGATTGAGTGGGCCGTGATAACTTCAAACAAGCAAAGCAGGAAGGATATGACTCTTTCTTATGATTGTCATGAATCCAAGCAAGCTTCAGTCACAACAAGGAAGTTTCAAAGCAGACAAAGAGAACAAAAATTTAATGGCAAGAAGAAGGAAGTGTGGGAGCACCTTGCTTTGAGTCTGCCACTGAAGATTTTAAGAAAATAGAAAACAAGTGTTTGTCAGTACTGGCCTAGATAAAGCTGATCCCTTTGTGCAGGAAGGATGAGATGACTGTGAAGGCCTCTTGTAGCCATGTGGCAAACAGAACAAAACCAAAAACTAACAAAAGAACAGGGGCATCTTTATCAGAATGTATTTACATCATGGCAACAAAGATTTCTTTTATGTTTTTTCATCACTGTATCAGACATTAGAAGATAGAGAAATCAGAGATGGAAGTGAGAAGAAAGGAAAGAAGAAAAAAAGGAAAGAAAATATACTCTTTTTTTCTGTTTTGGAGTGCCTTTTGGAGAAAGAGATAATTTAGTCTAGTGTGTTCACTAAGATTAATCTAAACTCTAAGGCCTTCCAGCATCAGCTTCTACCCAAAATGTAATTGTTCAGTTGAAATAGAGTGGGCATTGAGCTCTTTCAATCACATTTGGAAATAAACCGTAAAGTACATTTAGCAAGATATTTTCAAAGTTTTGAGAGAAATTTAGGACTTCTTGAAAATTCCAGGTGCAATGAATAAATAGAGTGAGCAAGAAACTTGTCAAAAACTTAATTTACTAGTTTACAACTCAGAAGAAAAATGGTCCAATATCTATAAAGGCCTCAGGTGATTTGTCACTTCTATGGCTTTTTACAGGGTTGAATGTTCCCACTGTGCACTGCAAAGTAAAGTCCAATGGTATTTTTCTGTCTTTGTGGATGACTACAGAATTAAGTTTAATGTTTATTACTGCAATGAATAATCTACAGGAGTAGAGAGAAACTTTTCTAATTCAAAAAACATAAATAATTGACATTTTGAGAAATCAAAGGTCATAGACATTTTCTATGTGCTTGGAGAAAGTAAATGTTCCTTGACACACCTGACCCAGGGCTTTTAGGGTGGCTTAAATTACATTCATAATATAACTAAAGAGGCAACTTTTTGCTGCTTCTACCAAAACAGAAAGCACAGAATTTTCATCTAGCTGGAATAATTATCATTGCTTCTGGAATTTACTTGATGAACTTTGTTTGTAGATTTCAGTTTCATAAGACAGAGAGGTATATTCATTTTTTCATTGGAGTGGAAATACACCTTAATTACAAGCAGTAGCTACTGAAAGCCAAATGTCTTGCCAGGCATTAAAAAATATGCACATCTGTGCTGTTCTAAACATTGATAGTTCCATGCATAAAAACGAAAATAAGTTCTGATATTGACTTTGGGTGCAACAGAACTAGATGGGTATTTCATGAAGCTTTCCTACATATTGATTTACTTACTACAACTAACAGGAGAAAGAGAACTGTCGCATCCTCTTGTAATCTTAATATGACTGGATGTTGTAGGAATTTACTTACAGAACAAACTTTTTGATAAGACCAAAACTTTTAAGGGCTAAGCATCTGCCTTCTGAGAAGACAAATGACTTTTAATCTCTCTACTAAAACCAGAAGCAATTGCAATGAGCAACTATTTTTTAAAGGTTTTTCTTCTCTTTTTGGTTTTAAACTGGTTAAAATGCTTAATTATATATCATGGTGTTGTTTGGGGATTTTTTTAGGTAGTGTTTTGGTTGTTACATATTTGTTTAACAAGTTTTTATACATTACATACAGACATCACCCTCTTCAATCTATGGCATCGGCAGCAGGTGGAGCAGAGAATTAAGTCTTTCACACACTGACATTTGAATTCCCTGTGACAGTACAAGCCAAGACCTAGGGAAAGCTTTGATTTACTGAGACATGTTAATTTGGTATAATGTTCAACAGCGTGTTGCTAACAGAAGGTGTAACATAATGCTCCAAACAAATGCCAGATGGGTGTTTGTTTTCTTTGAATGTGACAGTTTAAAGGCAGTGATATGCTCTTTTGTAGTTATGTTTCATTATTTCAGATATTAGTGAGGTATACTGCAGACTTTGATACAAGGGAAAGGGACAGGCAATAGATTTCCACTAGAGCAATCTATTTTAGAGCCTTCCTGCCCTCCAGCATATCAACACTCCCATGCAATTTGGTGTTGTCTGCAAATAGACTGAAGGGACACTCAATCCCCTTGTCCAGATCACTGATAAAGATATTAAACAGGACTGGCCTGAGGAAGAATGCCGGACTCACAAGAACAAATGCTTAGCACGTAAAAAGGACTTGGAGATTGTGGCTAAGTGACTTGCAGACTCCTGGACTGGACCAGAACTGTATTCTTGGCTCTACATCTGCAGCTATGAGTTAGTGCTGGGAGCTACATTTGCAGGAGTGAATTTTAGGCTTATTAGGCAGATCTCTCAGTTGTCAACACAGACACAGATTTACTGAAAGGAGGTATCTAAGCTGCGCTGTTGTTTTTGAGATCTTGATTTTGGCATGCTTGACAACTAGGCATGAATATAACCCAAAACCAAATCTCCGCTTCTTCTGCATGCTCACTTTTCTTCTCCCTCTGGTTAAACATGGGAGCGAGCACTAGTCCTTGCTGCGAGTTCGCTGCCTTGAGTTTGCCAACAGACTACAGGTGCAAAAGCGCTGTGCGACTAAAAGCTAGGTAAAAAGGCCTGAGGTTTGTAATCCCTGAGTGCAGTTTGCTCGCCTGTGGCTTCCCCTGGTGCTGGTGGGGACGGTGGTGACTCTCTGTTGCCACCTAGTGCGGGAGCCCACCACGGCAGAGACATCGCATCACCCAGCAGGGCAGGGGGAACACGCCCGGGGCTGGCTCTTCCAAAGCAGAACACCGATCGTTAATCACATCCTACATGTACGGGGTGATAAATGCTTTTCTGGGCTTCTGATACTTTTTGAGATTGCAGGAACTTTTCCACTACTGGGTATTTTCATAGAGAAAAGGGGAAGCAGAAGAGGCAAGACAGGTCTACTACTAGAAATTTCACTGTTGCTTAGTGGTTAGGACACTTCCATGACAGAAGAACACTTCTTTGAAAAAGAGTTTATGTCTCCCGTAGTCCCCAGAGAGTGCCCCACTCACCAGCCCTGCTGCTCTTCTGGGGTTAGCGTGCTTGTCTCTTTCTAGGTTATGTTCAAGAATTTCAGCCTAGAATCAGAATACACAGGTTACCACTTGTATTGTAGAGTGCTCTTTATCAGTATGCTCATCCAAAAATAGTTTAAAAATCCTTCTCATGATTTAACAGCAGGGAAACTGAGATAGGTGCAGGAACTTTCCAAGACATTGATTAGGAAGAACACTCCAGGTCCATGAACCTTGCTCTTGTTCTTACTTTTCTCTGTTAGATAATACCACCTCTGTTAGGCATCCTCTGGGAAAAGTAGC